TATGACCTTACATATCCGCCAGTACAACAGAAGTGTAAAGACTTGTAGCGAAACAGCAGCTGCAACCCTAAACAATAAGGCCTTGTGAGGTAACAGTGGCAGTAACCCTAAGAACCCTAAACAGTAAAGGCTTGTAGGGTAACAGTAGTAAAAGTATTTTTTCAGATGGGTAGTACTTTACTTGGGGACATTATAGCCCCACCATTGGGTATGATTCTATCCTCTTTTCTATCTGGTATAGTATTCTTTTTGGAGGATGAAAGTTTGCTAGCTGTGAGTGCTTGTCATCTTCATATCCCTTTGGAAAACCAGATTTTCGGACGCCCCTCTAAACCCTAAATCCTCCTTGAGCGGCTGAGAACAACAGGACAGTGCTCTTATCGGGTGCTCGTTCAGTAGTTTGGCACCCTAAACCGCAAGCACTAGGAACAGGCTGCTTTCCGAGAGAAGTAGAGAGCGGCTGAAGGGGTATAGAGACTTACGTCGGGGGTTCTTAAACTTAGGGGTACCTTCAAAGGGGGTTGGGGCTTATATTGGGATTTAAAGGGTTTAGGGTTGCCCAGATCAGGGATCCTGTCCATAGAGTTTGGGGGAGGTCACGAACTCCGAGGAACCATGTTTCTTGTAGGGCCTTTAAAATGTTCGTTGGAGGTGTTCGCAAACAAGATTTGTACAGCTTAAAGGATTCATCAGGGCGGCTTTGTTTGGAGCTATGTTCAGGGTTCAAAAGCTTCGGTTTGGGGTTTAGGGTAGGTGAGGGGTTTGGGGCTGAAGGTCCAACATCTGAGGGTGTGAACAGGGCCTTGATATGCGGGTTTCCCAAAATTAGGGGTACCACTTTGGGCTCCCTAGAATAAATACCATAGTATTTTGGGGGTCGCTATTCCTAAACCCTAAACCTTTAAAACGAAAACTTCCATATTGAGCTCCTGGGTAGGCTGCACTCGCCCTTTGTCGCTGCCATCGCAGGGTGGCTTCCTCAGCATTGGAGGTCAGGTCCCTGAACCCTTTAAACCCTAAACCCTAAATAGCACCCTACACCGGGGTTGGCTCCCAGGCCTAGTACAGAAGATGGAAGAGGTTAAGGGTTGAGGGTTTAGAGTCCGGGTTCTAGGGTTTAGGGTTTAGGGTCTAGGGCTTAGGGCGGCTTAGGGTGGCTTAGGGCGGCTTAGGGTTTGGAGTTTGGGGTATAACCCCCCACATAATCCCAGTGTCCAGGTCATTTTTTTCCGTGTGATTCTCCACTATGGGGGTATGTATCATTACACACCCCATATATCCTAAATTCTAAAGCCTAAATAGTAGTGCCCACTGTCTTTTCCAGCCTCTCCACATGGGAAATGTTAGCTGTTCTATCTGCTGAAAGATGACTGTGGACCCTAAACCCTAAATCCTAAACCCTAAACCCTAAAAGGCATAACCAGTTTCTACCTCACGGTTCAGAGTTGAGGGTTCCGGTCTTGCAAGAGTTCAGCTTTCAAGTTTAAGCCCAAGCTTGGGGATTTAGGGTTTAGGGTTTTGAGGGCGCTCAGTGATAATTGCAAGCTGCGTGAGATAGACTGAAGAGACTACTGCCTTGGGGTTTCGCGCGGAATTAGGAAACCCTAAACCCTATGAGTCCCTATGTATCCATATATACCTCTTGCTACCCCCTTTATCCCCCTTTCAAGGTACCCCTAGTTTTGGGAAACCTATCTAGTTTCATCTCCCCTAAACCCTAAACCCTAAACCGCACCCTAAGACCCTAAACCCTAAACTGTCTGATGATAAAGCTTCAACTTTCAGGACGTCTCAACCCTAAAGCGCCTGTGTAAACCTGAGGGTTTAGAGTTGCAATGTGAGCTATAGTCTAAACTCCTTCAAAGGGGGTTATATAAACGGGATTCTATAGGGAACTACTATAGGGCTCATTTAGCGGGATACTAGGAGTTTAGACTATAGCTCCTGGGAACCCACTGTTGCATTCAATTATCCATTCGATGTTCCATGTGAGCCTCGACCAGATATTGTTCGCTTCGTCCCCGAGCTCTAGACCCTAAGCCCTCAACCCTATAGTCCCCCGCAAGTAGATAGCAAGTAGATAGAATATGGGGTATATGGGGATCTTATTATAGTATCTGGCTTTGGGATGCGAAGCCTGCGAAAACGTGTTTTACTTTGATTGTTCTTCGCTGCATGTACTGTCTGAAATCCTCCCTCTGAAGGGTTCTTGAAGACTGCTGCTTGAGAGCCCCTAAACCCTAAACCCGAAATCCGAAACCCCTAAACCCTAAACCCCTAAACCCTAAACCCCTAAACCCCTAAACCCCTAAAACCCCAGGAAGTTCTCTAAGCGACTTGACACTGCAGAGGCTATCAGCTTCTTCCTTCAGCCGTAAACTGTCTAAGTTCAACCAGCATATGGAATTTATAGAGGGATAATGGAAAAGAGAATGGAAACTACTATAGTATATTGGGGTTTATATAGGGATAATGGAAAAGAAAGGTTCAACCAGCATATGGAATCTGCAGGCGTCTTCGCTAAACCCTAAACCCAAAACCTAGCCCACCCCCTAAAAGAATGCTCCTGACTGCCGCTGGGAGCGCTGGTTTGCCCACCTGTTTACGGCTTGATACGCATTATGTGAAACAGGTACCTCTTTTAAGGGGACTATAGGGGACGTATGTAGTTTAGAGATGAGGGTTTAGGGTTTCCGAAAATTAGGGGTAGCTTGCTTGGGGTTCACGAAAAGAAGGATTATAGTATGTAGGCGTCTATATTGGGGTCCCCTTACTTTGGGAAACTACCATCTGTCTATGTAAAGCCTACATTCCTGTACAGTCCTTCTTCGCGACTGTCAGGTGTTGTGGCTAGTACCCAATGCAAAAACCCGAAAGCACAGGGAACCCTAAACCTTAAACCCTAAACCCTGAACCTTAAACCCTAAACACTAACCCTAAACCCTACGTAAACCTTAAGCCCTACAAACCTGAAACTTGCTGAGCCGACTTGAAGTCGGTCTTGCAAGGTGTGCGGAGACTGCTGTGCTCCTTGTTCGTGCACTTGCCCCGGCTTCAAGGGGTTTAAGGGGTTTATAGGGTTTAGCCCTAAGGGTCCAAGGGGTTTATAGGGTTTAGCCCTAAGGGTCCAAGGGGTTTATAGGGGTTTCTGGATCAATGTTAGGGATCCTTTATACTTTTTGAGGCATGGGATTCCTCATATTTATGTAAAAAGGATCCTTGTTTTCTTCCTAGGGTAATGTGGGCTAAGGACTCAGCTGTTTGCCAAATCTCGTAGATGGCTTGATTGATAGTGTAGAAGGCTTATCGTCTTACCGCCTGAGCCCATGCATGTCTGCATGTGTGTGTAGAATAATAGAAACCATCATAATCATAAGAATATTGTAACCAATAATGCTACTAATAATACAGACAGATATACATATATATATATATGTACATATATATATAATAACCCCCCTGGCACCCGTAAAGCTAACTGTCCTGGCACTTTGCTCAGCAAGTTGATACAGTACTATGACAGCTAGCGGGGACTTGTAATTTTCCCGTAGTGCATGAGGAAGGCTGGAAATTGTGCACCAAACCGATCTAAAACAACACAAAAGGAAACAACTGAAATAAAGCACAAATCACACACTCCAAAAATCAGAAGTCTCGAGCTAAGACTTTTCGAGGAAGACTCCCGGAATTGTTCCCCACCCTCACAGTGGGGTTGTTAGATTTTAAAGTGAAATGTTGTGCTCGCCCGCCCGGAGCCTGATTGCAGTGCCCAACTGCACAGTATCCCTGCAGTGCCCAACCGCAGAGTATCCCTGCAGTGCCCAATCACAGAGTATCCCAGCAGTGCACAACCGCACGCAGAGTGTCCCTGCGGTGCCCAACCGCAGGGTATCCCTGCAGTGCCCAACCGCAGAGTATCCCTGCAGTGCCCTACCACAGAGTATCTCGATTGTGTCCATTCGCGGAGTATCAACATTTAGAGCGAGTTTCACTGCTGATACATGCTCCACATTGTCGCTGGAAGTAGTTGATGTTGCCCTGGAACGACGAAGAGTTAAGGGTGGGGATGTTCGAAGTAGATAATTTTCCATCGCTCTTCATGATTTGCGATTGGGCGGGTGGGGTCTGCCCCCCAACACCCTTTCCCCGCATCCGCAGCCCTCCCCTCATGACCTCTCCTCCTTACAAAAAAATACCAAAAAACAAGAACGCAGCGCCCACAAAAAGCTCTCCCCATCTACGATGTGTATTTCATGTAAGGACTCTTCCAATTGATTACTTGGGCTCCCGCTACGAGCTCATCATTCCCGTCCCTTGCTTGTGAAGCATTTCATTGTCGCGCCGCATGTTCTTTGAGTTCCTTCCTTTTTTGGATAGATGCGCAGCCACCTGAGGAGGGATACGTTGCTGGTATGACCTTTCGCACCAGCATTCTTGTCTGAAATGGTTTGCAGCATGCCGGAAGTGAAGACCGCTTCAACGTGCATAAGCTGCTGCTGCACATGTCGGGTGTTCAATGAAGAAGCTGCAGAAGCAGAAGCAGGAGCTGGCGAATTGAACGTTTGATTCTGGCCACGGGCAAGTGGCCAGATGTTGCAATGTGTTTGCTTGTTGTGGAGCAAGCATGCATTTCCGCTGCAAGCGTGCCCTCACAAAGGCTGATGGCACTTTGACGTCTTTCTTCTGATGCATCACAGCAAAAAAGAAGCTTGTATTTGTGCAGCTGCGGTTTGGCAACAGCAGCATTTTGGAAGATCTTGGGCTAATGCGGGCTTGTGTTATGATGCGTGAAAGTATGTTGGTGTTGCCTGGCGTTGCTGCGTCCTTGGGGATGCTGCCAGCTTTGCCCAGCCACCTCTGGTTCGCAGTTTCTATGCCATCACCATGCCATCGCAGGTGTTGTTGAGCGAGAGCGTCTGCAGCCATCTTGGCAAGGCACTTGATCTTGTCTGTTAGGAGATCGGCCAATAGTAATCTGATCTCCATAGGATCAGATAGCGATGGATCCTTATGCGCGTCTTCGTGGGGAATACAGCACCCTGGATGTTGCGCGTGAGATGCAGCGTGGTGAGGATGCCTTCGCCGCCAATCCGTTCCGAACCGAGGGTGCATCCGACTTCCTGGGCTTTGACCTGCCCCAGCAGCAGGAGCACAGCTCAGCCTCACAGAGAAACAGCCGGATGAGTCCAGACTTCCTTCCCCTACATGGCTCCATAACAGATGAAATTTCCCAGCCCTTTGACAAGTCTGGGGTTATGTCACCCCAGGAGTTACAGAGCCTTTACAAAGATGCCTCTGATGTCCAAGTCCAAGATCCCCGAGTTCTTAGCACGAAGGTGGTGGACAAGCAAGAGCAAAAAGTCTCCAAAGTTGTCACTGGCAAAAGACAGGTCATCACCATTGAGAAAGTTGTTGAGATTCCACAGGTCATCACCAAGGAGACCATCAAACGCGTGCCGAAGCCTGAAATCATAGAGCGCATAATTGAAGTTCCAGGTAAAGTGGAGTACCGCTATGGTGGACGTTCCGGACCTGGAGGGCCTGGTGGTAATTGGGGCCCAGGAGGTGGTCCAGGATCAGGTGGCTTTGGCCCAGGTGGATTGGGAGGCTTTGGCGGGTGTGGGCCTGGTGGCTGTGGTCCTGGTGGGTTTGGTCCTGGCGGGTTTGGTCCTGGTGGCTCTGGCAGCGGACCAGGCGGCGGCCCAGGCGGACCAGGCGATGGTCCAGGCGGCTGTGGGCCTGGTGGTTGCGGAGCAGGCGGATGCGGTCCTGACGGCAGTTGGGGTGGACCTGGCGGCTGCGGTCCTGGTAGCGGATGTGGAAGCGGTCCAGGTGGATGTGGAGGTCCAGGTGGTGGTGGAGGTCCAGGTGGTGGTGGAGGGTGTGGCGGTCCAGGTGGCTCTGGTCCAGGCGGGTATGGTCCAGGCGGCTATGGTCCAGGTGGGTATGGTCCCGGTGGGTATGGCCCAGGAGGGTTTGGTCCAGGTGGATGCAGCGCTGATGGTGCAGGCTTCGGTCCTGGTGGATTTGGTCTCGGTGGGCCGGGTGGCTTTGGTCCCGGTGGTCGTGGTCCTGGCAAGTTTGGACCCGGAGGCTGTGGTGGTGGGTTTGGTCCGGGAGGCGGTCCTGGAGGATTTGGTGCTGGTGGGTTCGGACCTGGCGGATTTGGTGCTGGCTGTGGCGGTTTCGGAGGTGGGATGGACGATCCGTACGGGCTCCTTGATGATAGTGTGTACGGACAAGGCATGAGTGGGATCGGGCCTGGAGGCCTTGCCATGGACTTTGGAGGATATGGAGGGGGTGGCATCCGTGAAGCTTTGGGTTGGGACCCAAGTTCTATGCAGTTGGTGGGTGGTCCGGCGAGCTTGGAAGAAGCATTGCAAACCTTGGGTGGAGGAGAAGGAGACCTTCCAGGCCTTCCTCCGGGTGTTGAACCTGGCTCCAAAGAATACAATGAGCATCTCCGCATGCTAGAGGCGCAAGGCTTAATCGAGATTCGCGAGGAGATTGTGGAGGTGCCTCAGGTCGTTATTGAAGAGCGGGTTGTCCATGTCCCCGGAAAGAAGCAGATCCAGGAGAGACTCATCGAAGTACCCAAGGTGGAGTGGGTTGAGCGCGTAGAGTACGAGGACTTCGCTGTTTGCTTTTGCTGTCCTCCGCTAACTCCTTTCTGCTGATAATCGTAAGGCGTAAAGCATTTGGACGTGTGTAAACCAGAAAGGTTGGCGGCTACAACCTTGGTCACCAAAAAGCAGTGCCAGGACTTTGTCGAGTACCGTGAAGTTCCAGTCGACAAGATCATTGAGGTCCCTGAGATCGAGTACAAGATCAAGCAGGTTCCTCGTGGCAAACCTTAAGGATCGGGAGAGGGACAGAGAGAACAATAGAAGAGAGAAGCAAAGCAAAGCAGAAAGGCAGAGAAACTGACTGGGAATGAGCAGAACGTGCAGCAACCCTTGCGCGACCCTTGCGCGACCCTGATGAGACAGGTCTTGTTCAAGCCTCGGCCTTTCATGTCATCCGTGATGGCTCGCGGCGTTGCGTGATCTCGGTGATGACGCTGCATAAGTAGGCCAAGCATGTCAGAGGCAGCACTAACATGATCCACCTTGCGCATGCACCGGAGCGGTCAAGCACAGCTGACTTTGTAGAATTGTACAACGACGACAAAGTTCTACGTGTGTAACACGGCACATGATTGTTCCGAGTCCTGGCTGCAGTGTGCTGTTGCCTGCACACTATTATCCGCGGCCTACGTTACCGAGTCAGAGAGACAAAGAAAGAGAGTGAGAGAGATACAGAGAGAGAGGGAGAGAGATTCTTCCAGAATAGTATGGTCGATCCAGGCAACACACGACAGGTAAGAGCCTCAATGCAAGCAACACCCACGAATAACTATCCCGGAATCATATATACTGGCCACATCCCGACCACAACCCTGGCAGGAGTCCCCTGGCTCATGCACTATGCAAGGATACGGCTTGCAAACACAGTTTCAAGGTGGTGGGCAAAACTGAGGTGAACCCAATTTGGTAACCACTAGGCCCTTAGTAAGGTGTCTGGGTGTAAAGCCCCCACTCTGGAACCATGAGGGGTAGTAAGACCTGTCAACCCAACACGGGCTGGGCATTGAAGCCCGGAGGGGGGAGTAATCCCACCTCCTAGCCTGAACGAAAGAAAGAAAGATTCTTCCAATCGATGATTGCTCCATAGCCCATATGAAAGAAAGAAAGAAAGAGATAGACGAAGAAGAAGGATAGGAGGAGACAGAGAGACAAAAAGAGAAGGCACCTGGGAACAAAAGCTTCCTAGGGGAGCGCGGATACCGATACCCTACCATGACCAGTGCATAATTTGCGATACCCATTTTAGAGAGGAATGGATACAGGGAGGGGTCTGCAGTAAAAAGCTTGGACATGGGAGGCAGAGAATTTGAAGCCAAAGATGGCAGTGCACAGGGACGACTGAACAATTCAAATGCACCAATTAGGGAAGTCAACAGTGGAGAATGTGCAAATGTAAGAGATGTAAATGACCGACATGGTACAAGAAACAACGCGTTTAGGTGCCAATGGAAGGAAGAGATGAGGAGACATGCTAAGTGGGTTCCCAGTGGGAGTCTTGATCTGGATATTAGTCGCTGTCGGAGAGTTTAATCATCCAAATTCGAGATGTGGGGGCCTCGTGCGAATATTTCCGGATGCTATGGGAGTGGTTTAGGTTCGAACAACAGTTGTCAACCTTTCCTCAGCATCACAGTCAGGACGCGGAGAATCCCAATGGCAGAAGAGGAAGTTAATGAGCCAAGGGGGAGAAGAAGATGAGGGGTTTGGTGGGTCTAGGGGGAGAGAGAGGTCTTGGGTGTGCCCAGCCTGTATGGGAAATCCCGCTGAACATGTATGTGTACAGATTTTCCGGCAAATCAAAGACGGGGTGGCAAAAGTTTCACAAATGGCTTGAGTAGGGAGGAAACCTTAATTAGGAGCCAGGTTACCCATGTGATCCGGGATTGGCGGGAGAAGAAGACGGGGGAGAACGGCTGGCTCCTAATTTCGCAGTACTCCGGTCCTCACCAGAACCAACCGCGATCGCTTGGAAGGGGTGTAACCTTCGATTGGGTCGTAAGGGGTGAGTATAGCCTGTAGAAAAAGGGAAGAAGAAGAGGAGAAAGCGCCTTCAAGCGGAAGTTATCAAAACCGATGACAAAAGACAGTCTTGCGCGTTTACAGCACGTTTCCCGGCAGGACGTGACAGCGAGAGAAAGGGGTAGAGAGACAGAGAGGGAACACACGAGAGCGCAGAACTACCAGCAATCCGCGCATCCAGTTCATCAAGAAGCTAGAATCAAGATGGACATGTCAGGCCCCCCTGTGGGCACAGCTCTCGAAGAAGAAGAGAAAGCCATGAAGATTACACACCTTCTCCAAGGAGTTCAGTAGGTCTACAAAGAAGGAAGGCAAAGCGAGAAGGCTCCGCTCAGCTACTTTCCGCTTCGCTCCAGTCCCCTCAAATTCTGTCCTTCACTGCCCGGACCACCAGACGCCCAAATGGACTGAAGAACAAAAGGAGGGTGCAGCATTTAGCGGGTATGGTACTAGTAGCAGCAAGCAGCCAGGTGCTGATTTCTGGTGCATGGCGACGTGTGAGTCTTGCAATTGCCATCTAAGGTTGACCAAACAGTGCCACAAACCTACATCCAAGAGCATTTCGTGGACAGGTATAAGGAGGTTCCCGTGACACAGGTCCAAGAGACTGAACGTGTCGAGCACGTGCCTGTCATGGTGCCAAATGATTGGAGGCCGCCCAACTTGCAGGCACTTGGGGTGCAGAATGCTGCCCCACCGGCTATTGTCACCACCTAGCTGCGCTGGCTAGAATTTGCCGGCGGCACTTGATTTCACCAAGTCTTGCACACCAACGCAAGACAACGCACAAGATCGCTTCACTTTGAAAGTCAAGCTCTGACGGCAACCTGCTGTCAGCGTGAGGCGCTGCATTCCTGCATCGCTGAGCAGTTGGAAATTGGCAAGTGTGATGTGCCCAGTTTCAGATGTGCAAGTCTTCTTGTGCTTCAGGCACGCGTGGCGGCATACAACCCTGCGAAAGCCCGACCTTTTCAGCAGCTCATTTCAGCTCAGGAGTACATGCGTTGCCTAAAAGCAAGCTTTCAGCTATGGCCGAAGTGGACGAGTTCGAAGACAGTGAGGCTAAGCCCGATGCTGACCAATCCACGGCTGTGAGTGACAGGAAGGTCAGGTCTTTGTGCCTTGGCCGAAGCCGATGTTTGCAGGTGGCGGCAGTATGCTTGCGGACTGGCTGTGCATACTCCCTGGATGTCTTAGAACTTGCTTTGAGGTTTAAGAAGCAAATGGTAGATGAAACGAGTGTTGCAGCCTTCGCTCAACTTGGCTCTGCCTTCTTTGCTGCTGCTCGAGAACGTTTGGCTCTGCCTCGTGATGCAGCACGGCAAGTGACTGGCTATTTGCTTGTTTTGTTCGGCGTTGATTTGAGCGGCGATTTCATTTGTAGCCCGTTGCCTGGAGCCTGCTCCGGGTGATTGCGTGTAGATGTGGCTAGATTCTTTCGTGAAGGACGATCTACAAACCTAGGAATCTGGTGCCCCGACAGTGGAAAGCATGCGCACAAGACATCAGCGCTTAGCACAAGACGCCAGGTTGGTTACATGTCGTCAGCGCTTGCGCAGAGTCAGGGGTCACGCCAGCCTCTCTGGTTTTGTAGGCTAGCAGCTGCGCGCGGGCAGTGGGACCTGACCGAGCGGCAGCCGAGCCTGTTCTGCAAGGACCTGGCGCAAGGCAGAGTGCTTGCACACCTCTTCCAAGCTTGCGACATGCACTCTAGAAGCCAGATGTGAGTCTCTGCACACCTTGTTATCCCTCAACTAAGGGTGGCTGAGAGGGATGATAGCGGTGAACGAGCTCGTGCAGAAGCAGAACGGCTTGCAAGGCTAGATGCTAAACGCAAGCGCCTGCAGAGTGTGGAAGATGAAGATGACGAAAGCAAGCAGTTGAGCGGTTCTCGGCGCTTTCGCTTGTCCTTTGCTGGTGACGAGGATGACTTCTAACTGGCTCAGACCAACACCCATCTCCAAGTACACGTCAGGCAACAACCCATCAAATGTGCCAGCTTTCCAGTGTCAAGCTTGTGGAGAAGCTCTTGAAATCCGATACATCATGGAAGCAGGTTCAAGGCGCATCTGATTCTCCAGTTATGCTTCAAGCAGGCCCCATCTAGCCTCATGCTGCATCCGAGCATCAAGCTGTATCACGTTGTCATTTACCTGTTCGTTGAGCCTGTGTGCTGCGAAAGCGGTAAAAGGAGCCAATGCTTGGGAGATTTCATTCATGGCACGTTATGATAGATGCGCAACTTGCATGCGCTCTGTGTTCGTAAGGACATGCGCTGCTGAGCTCACCAACGTCTGAGTGAGGGCTGCAGCTTGCGGCATGTGTTCACACACGGAGCGTTGGATCAAGCTTGGAGTGTTTTTAAACATGTGCATAGACTGCTCATGCAGCCTGGTAGTTCTTTCAACTTATTGTCTACCAAGCCATTACAGAGCAAGCCTGCTGGATGCGAGTGGCCGAACCATGGCGTCCGAGAAGGCGCACTGCCTTTCCTGCCCAAGATGTGGCTCCCACGATTCAGCTTGCCTCCATGTGACCAATACGCTTTCCCCATGAGCCGGGTACGAGCCGCCCGTGGCTGCTACCCTGCACTTTAGGGAACATCGCTCACCTCTGAGCAGGCGACGAGAGCGAGTGTGAGTGTAGAAGTGTATAAGCATGTATGCGTGCGTGTGATAGGGAATGTAGGGGTGCCATAAGTTTGAAATATGATGTACTGGACCAACGCATGTCATCAGGAGGCCCAAGTAACAGTTGGAGCAAGAACAACTTTGTGCATAAGTGTTTTCATCCAACCGGAAGGAGGAAGCTGCACCTGTGAAATTTGATCTTTGACAGAGATTGGCAATGGGGATGCAGGAGCATTTTTGCATGTCCTCGTTTCCGTGTCTGCTGCTCATGTCTTGTATCTCCGTGCATAGTTATAAAAAGTCACAAGTGGTCATAGGTAGCATCGTAAATTTTGGAAGCAACTTCCGGAGGGGATTTCCTCCTCTACCGTCTTCTGGAGTGATGAGGGTGAAGTTGTGACAAGTCATGATGTGGCTAGTTTTGGGTCAAGAATTCCAAGAGGAGATGGAGCTGGCATTTCACCAGACACTGCCTCTGCATCCCCATTGCGCTTTACCGTCAAGGATCGAAATTCATAGGTGCAGGTCCCCTGTCCCTTTGGTTGGATGATGACGCTTAATAACTTATACTTAGGGAGGACAGTTCAACCTAATTGAGTGCACGGGCAGGGAGCTGCCGCTAACCAGAAGTGTCACAGCACGCTCGAGTAGGGGAGTCTGGTGAGAAGAGGGCAGCGCGTGCGCTCTACAGGAGGGATGAAGGGTACAAAGTCTTCTGGGCAGTCTAAGAAGAGTGGCAGCAAACACTTGTCAACTCGAGCGGCAATCAGGAAGCCTCTGTCCAGGCAAAGTTGCACATGTCATTCCAACAGCATTTTTTCACCAGAACCAACTGACTCTCTGGCGCGCCGATTTGCAAAGAGAACACCAGTATAAGAATAAGATCTGCAAACATAGGCTGGCTTTTCAGTCTACTTTGTCCCCTAGGGTAAGGGATGGGACGAGACGGGAGAGGCAGCGGGAGGGGCGGGAAGGGGAACGGGCGGAAAGCTGCAAAAGAAACCTTCGAAAGGGAAATTTGGAAGGGAAAGCAAAGGAAAGGAACCAGAACGATGTGGTAAGAAGCAAAAGGAGAAGAAGACCAGGAAGACAAGCTTGGGATTTTGATGCCTTGGGTGGCTCCGCACACAAAAAAAAGGGCTTTATGAAGGCCTAAACTCGAGGAGTGAAGAAAGGGAAGAAGATGAGGGACCAAGCTCAATGAGAGACCACACTTCCCGAACATCTGTGACCATGGTCTGTAAGTCATATCAGACAACAGCATTCCTGCAGCATTTGAAGCCACCGTCGTGCTTTGACAGCAAAAAAGTCAGGCAGCTGGGGAGGCTGAAGTTCTGAGCTCAGCACATTTGCCGATTTTCAAAACGTGCCAAATGCGTAATGCCAGCCTGTACCTTGTTTTGTTTTTGCTGCCCGACCCTTTCATCATGACAGCAACTGGCAAAATCTGATAGCACTTAAGAAATTCGATCACCCAAACTTGATTTTGCCACTGCATGTCCTTCAAGTATTGGCTCACAGCTAAGGCCTTTGATGCCATCTTGTTCAAGCTTGAAATGGCCTTTGACAAGGCATGGTTGGATTTTTTCATCGATCTTTGTGAGATGTTTTGGGACGCCTATGCTTTTCGCAGGCTGGTGGGCTTGACCTCGGGACTGTGCGCCTGCAGCGCCAGGAGCTTCAGACCTCCGCTGCAGCAACGCCGCTGTGAATCAGACCTGGGCGAACATGGAGGGATTTTAGGCATTGCGTGGCATTTTCTCAGTAACACTATTTCTTCCATGGTGGAGCCATGCTTGGACGACTTGTCCATCCAACATCCTGATGTCATTGCGTAACCGGCATTGAAGTCTGCAGCTTGAGCAAAACGTGAACTTGATCATTTTGGGTTACCAAGCACCCACTCGCAGGTGCAAGCATAGCAGCACACCATAGCTGGACCTTCCGAGGTTGGGAGCTTGACTTCGCAGCACACCTGGAGGTGGACCAGCAAGAGCTAACTAAGTGCAATTTGAAGAATGATGTCGTTCTGCGGTTCAGAAAGCTTCCCGCGCACTATGGGAGGGATCTTCTCATAGATCCACTCATGGGCTGGTTGACTTGCATAAGCTTACTCCGCTCAAAACTTACGAACGCTGGTTCCATCGAGCTCAAAGAGAACGTCTCGGACCATCTATTTAGTTTGGCATTTCAGACATTCGGAGTTGCGCGCGTGTGTGAGGCACCCCACCTGCGATATCTGATATGTCTCTATACTTTGGCCTGGTAGCAAGAGAATCCCTGAAGATGGTGGGGGCCCCCGGACCTCAAGGCCCCATGGCCCGTGGACCCACCCGTTTTGTTGGATTCGTTGCGACATGTTGTCAAGTTTGTGATGCCTTTAGTTTTGGAGTTCGTCACAGGAGAAATCTGTAGACAGAATTCTGAACATGTATGTAAGAGCGGCAGGGCTACTTCTAGCAATGAACGGCTAGCAGGACATGACTGCGAAACTCAGGGGTGTCAGAAGGGAGTACGCAGTCATTACGCGAAGTCACAATGAATTTTCAACAAACAGGTTTCATGACTTTTTTAAAATTCCACGTGTAACCTGGCGGAGTATACCTCAAAGGAACGTGAACGATAATTAGCGGTTTCTTGGATTTTCTGCTCTATGATAGCCCTGTCAGGGCAGCATCTGCATTGGAGAGGTGAGCTGCAATCCAACTGGATGTCAGGGCATCCTCGATTTTCTCTTGTCTTATGGTTGCCCCTAACAATATAAACTATCTACAAAGTCCAGTTGCAGTTAGGGATCTCAGCGATCTCTGAGTAAGAAGTTTTTTGATTCCGGGATCTAAAATCTAAAAAGTCACACGGGAATTAGGTTTTTCCTTGATAGCTTAGTGAACAACTGCTTGCTCATCAGTTTCTAACTTGCACATACTTGCACAGACACCGTGCTGTCCGCACTGCTCTCAAGTTTGCCTCTGGCTATGCAGCGAATAACACCATATCTGGTGGTTGCATCGCACTGCCCTACTGATTCTGTAGCGCTCACGGCTCCTGCACGGTAATGGTGCGAGCAGCATCATACTGGTATTTGTGTTGGTTGCGTCAAGCTCGATCGTTTTCACCATCTGATTGTGCTCATGATGCAAACATCATTCCTGGTGGTTGCGTCGAATCTCTCTACCTTTGTCGCTTCCCTTGCATTGTCGTTCTACGAGGCAGGGGCAACGTCATGCTTGATGTCCTTTCTACTTTTGGGACAACGAGCTGAAGACATTGCTGGCTTTCGTTAGCCTGCGGTTGCTTTCCAAGTTGATGAAATCTTCTGTTGAGCCTGAGGCAGCAAGGAGCCTTATGATGGCGATTCTTCAGAGTCTGCTCCTCAGCTTCGTTCGTGTCCTACAGGCTCGGGCAAGGTCAAGAGGACAAGACAGGTTTTACAGCCAATGCCGCCTCACAGGCACCTGATGTCCCTTACAGTTCCAGAGGTGAGAACGAGCATCGAACCATTCTGCAGCACGTCTTCGGTGGGGACTGCTTAGATGGGTGGGCTCTGCACACTAAATCTGTCCTTGCCGGAGACACCTTGCAGAGCTAGAGGTCTGACATGGTCTCACCTCACCCTGCAGCGCATATAACTGTAATCATCGCTGGGCGCCATGCTCTTCTCACATCCGGCTGTTCTGAGCCAGGACTGTGCTCGAATTTCCAGGGCGCGTGCCGCCACCCACCACAGTTTTTAGGATTGGGTTCCACAGGTTTTATCGTCTTTGCTGCTACTGTGCTGAGGTCGTTGAGTCGACTTCGCAGCTGGGCCTATGCAACAGGCTTTGTGCACCAGCTTTCGACACGTTCTGTGGTTGGCACATGTTGGCACTTGACTTGAGCTTCAAGCCCAGATAGACACCCACCTGACCCCTCCCCGCCCTTCCCAGAAGTAGCCAGGCATGGCCGGGCAACGGATTGCCTGAGAGCTTGCGAGTCGGTTGAGCCTTGCCTGCCCGTTTTGGTTATCTAGACATGCCTTGACGGAAGGTTCATGTTGTTCATGCTCAAGAAGCAAAAAACTGCACCAGCGGCTCTTGGAGCTAGTTTGAGTGGTCGATCATTTGAGATATTTTGCAGTGATTCCACAATTTGCGGACTACAATAGGGCTGCTCAGCAAACCTTCTGAGCGCTTGGCAAGTGGTAGAAGCTAGGACATCTCTTTGCATGACACTTGTTTGTGTTGGTGCTGCTGGCCAGTCTGCACTTCCGATTGTGTTTTTGGCATGTTGGGGCCAGGCAGGTCCTGGGTGACCTTGGGCTTGGCTTTTCACTGCGCTGCAGCCTTGGTGTCTGCAAGCATGGCGTGAGATCCGGCTTCAGAGACATGCGCCCTAGCTTTGGCCCCGCATGGTACAAGGCGGCCAAGGGAGCCACAAGGCCAAGCTCGTCGCAGGGATTGGTTCAAGTAGGTAGTTGCAGTGCTGCACAACACGTGTGGCCCAGCGCAAGCCCATCTGGATACTAGTTACTAGATGGACATGTAGTGACAGCAGTGAATGTATTCCCACGCCGCGATCGCGAAAGATGACAGCCATCAATTTTGGCCTTTTTCGTGGACTTTTGGCGGCATTCGTGCTTTTCGTGCCGTATCCGATTTGTTCGGAAGTTCTGCTGGTAGACCCTGACACAGACCTGGCTTTGTACCTCAATGGCCAGGAGTATTTTCCAGACACGTCGTCCCCTGTTCTTCCAATGAATGGGGTTCGGCGTATCAACACTGCAGAGACAAACATTCGGGTTTACAGAACTGCGCGAGATCTCACAACTGGAGACTTGCTGGCGCTGCAAGTCAGCACCAGGCGCACATCTGTCATAAATGTGACAGATGCACTTGGGCGCAAGATTGAATACCCTGCCCCAGTCGGCATTGTTCTCGTCGGGGAATTTGGGACAATGAGCACAGATGCATTTAAGTGCTTCACACAAAAAGAGGCAAATGACGACTTCAAAACGCCATTTCAGGAGCTTGCCTTCAACGACTCTCACTGGCCCCTTGCCTACGAGCAGCCACACGACTGCTGCCCATGGCGAGATGCTTTAATGGCCTGGAACAGGATCGGCGCAAAGTGGATCGGGTTGAATCCGGCCTTTTTCGTGGGCAACGTCTCAGGACCACGGCAGATGTTTTGCAGGTACAGGGTTCCTGGGGACACGCTCATCACTCGATTGCCTGTGGAAGAGGTGCAGAAGGCATCTGCTGCAGCCCCGCAAGTTGAGATTTTCATGGTGTCCGTGTCTGTTTCCCTCTCCAAGATCGAGGTAATTGTTGATCGAGAAGCGGATGTCTACTGCTGCTTGAATGCAGGGAATATTTTGGCTGCTTGCCTTTCCTTGCCTACTGACCTACTCCTGAATACTCCTGAACTTGAGCAGTGCAGCCTAAGGTGGCGTGATCGATGGACGGTATGAGCTGCGAGTTCCGACTCACAACGAGCTGAAGAGCTGGGGAATTCCGAAGCTGGCTGTTCAAGGTTCCACCTTTGGATATCAAACAATTGGTGACACAGAGTTCACACGGGAAGACATAGACCATCCTGCAATGGAGCGCTATGATGTGGCAGATCTGGCAGAGTGTGAAGAGATTTGCTCCGGCATTCCTGCTTGCGCCGCGCTAACGTATTGGATTGTTGGTAAACATTTCCAGACTGGGACCAACTGCAAGCTGATGAATGCTACTTACAATGCCTCACTCAGGCTTGCCGCAAGTGAGAGCTCTGAGTATCAGCTTCGTCGAAGGGAGGTAGTTCCTGCGATCAGCATACTTACCTATGCCGGTATGTTGCTCCCTGGCACCCTGTACAATACTTATTGTGTCTTGGCTTTGGTTTGCAGAAGCGAATCGTTAAGGGAGGGGTCGAAAAAATACATGTTCTTTCATGCTTCCAGCTGAATTTGTTATGTTTGCAAGGTAGCGCAGAAGATCCCATCTCTGGGGATCACATGAACATTTCGGCTATTGCTGCAACACTGGTGACTGAGCGGACTGAGGGCTGTACAGACTGTGGGAGCACGGACCCCCCAGCTGTCCAGATGCTTGGAGGATGGGTGGAGCAGGATTCGGTGGGAATCGTCGCAGTGGCCAGCAGATCTGGTCGCATTTTCTGCGTAGCCAAGGAACATCCAATAGGCAGTGGCTTTGTAGAGGTACTTGCAGAGGAGATTCAAGATGCTGGTTTTTCCAATCTGGCGACCGTGGGTGGCCAGACCTTAGCGGTCATCATCACCGGCTTGGATCCTGAGATTCAGTATCAGGTTACATGCGTCGCCGAAGCAGATGGGGGCTTACTGAGCGAGCAGGTGCAAATCGACTCTACGCGCCGATTGATGAACACAACGTCTACAGAGGCCTGCCAGCAAGCTGCTTGCAAGCCAGAAGCAGGTAAGTTACTCTGTAGGTTTTCTTTCTAGTAGTGTTTGTTTTGGACCTGCAGGTCACCATAAACAGCATGGACATTACAAGACAAGAGTCATTGGCCAATGCTGTCTTTGATGCCATGGTGGTAACGACTCAAGTCACAAGGTTGGGCTACCAGTGGTGTCAAGTGTACCCACAGGAGAACATGATTCAGCAGGGTATCCCAGAGGTGCATACGCTGGAGCAAATGGGACTCCGTGCCAAGGTATTTGATTTGCAGCAGGACGTGCAAGTTGAGTTCGACGGCCTTGACAAAAACACTTCGTACGAAGTGTGGTGCACGGCCAGGTACGATGATTTCTCAAATGAGACTGATGCGGACCTCATTACAACGCCGTATCCCATAGCCATTATTCGATCCGCGGTCCCCGGGTACGACTCTGTTTCCCTCACTGTAAGCTTGAGCAAGAGCCCGGCTCATGTTTTTTGTGATGCCTTTCCGTGGGCTTTGCGGCCAACCACTGCAAGACCAGCTGCTCCAGGTGTGGATCGTTTGGCAGCTTCGCCATACAACACAGTGCTGTTTCTTGAGGGTGGGAGTGGGACAATCACCATGGAGATTGCCCCTCTGGTCTCCGGTTTTCTGTATGACATCTACTGCTACGCTGAGTTTTATCGCCCGCCCCCGCCACCAGGGGCTATCCAGCCACCGAGACAGGGGATGAACGTGTTTGACATCATCGAGACACGCCTGGCGGTTCATATGCGTGGGCCTCTGTTTGATGAGCTGGGTTGGGAATGTGTATCTGGCCATGCATGCAGTGTCGAACACATCCTTGGTGTCCGACTTGCCGAGACTGACCAGTTAATGGTGCGAGCAGATGCTTGCCCTGGACGCTGCCGATGTCTAGGCATTGTAGATGCAAATCGCAAGGGGGGAGTTTGTTCTGAGATCTCGCAAGATCCCCTTGTTGTGAGTGGCATTGGCATAGAGGACAAGAGAGATCCGAGAGGCGCCTGGTGCTATGTGCTCGCAGGGACTTGCGAAGACGAAGAGCGGTCAGCCTTGTTTCCTACGATGACACTATCCTACAAGGTTTGCACCTATGCGGGTGCAGTTGCAGAGGGTGGCCAGGGAGCACCTGGCTTCGCAAACGGGGGGCGTGCATCTGTTCGCAGAGGCAGCAGTGGCCGTACCTTTGATTTCAGCCTGGTGCCGCTGATCGTTCCTGGACGTAGCTACGACCTTTGTTGGTGTAATGGCACGGAATCTTCATGCCAAATCGGGGCTGACTTTACTACTCGCATAGGAGCCTTGCACATGTCTGGGCCATCTTCTCAGCAGATGACCACCAACATGACCTGCCGAGTCGGACTTCCTTGCGTGCTTGAGTTCTTTGATGGTCATGCAGTGGAGGATGGATCACGCCTTGTAGCTTTGCCAGAGGATCCACGAGGTTGCCGCTGGGAGCGTGCATCGCTGGCTGATCCGACAGGAATTCCAAATTTTCCGAATGTGGGAGTCTCGAACGTGTACAGCAAAAACCATCGGAGATATGCCTTTGGCTCTGCCCCTTTGATCATAAACGGGGGCATCTACAATCTATGCTGGTGCGGCCCCTCTGCGCGTACGTGGTCAGTTGCGCCAGGACAGGAGTATAGGATACCTAATGGTATCATTCCGCCACCATGCCCGAACATTCGGGCTGATGATGGCGGTGACTTTCTCACGCCTGCTGGAAAGTTACTTGTGATTGGCCCAGAACCTTTTGGCACGGTTTCCTGCCGACTGGGTTCCGAGTGTGTGACACCGTTGGTTCAGGCCAACGGTTGAATAAAGATCAGAGGCAATGCAAACATTTTCTTTCATGCTTTGCCATGAGTGAGCTTGACGCAGTGACGCTTTTTTAATCTTAGATTCTTCAACTGATTGTTTGAAGCCTCAGATATGAATGAAACCATCCCTTCAGGGCTTCGGTTTGCAGGGCAGCGATCGCCTGATGGCACTCGACAGGTGTGGAGAAGCATCGCCACCACCGCGTGGCTGGAGTGATGGTGTCGCAGGTCTGCCTGCCCCCTGGGTGAGTGCAGGTTGGGCGGTCTCTGAGGGCTTTTCGCCACAGGAACTCGAGGCCTTCGGCATCCAGTCTAATGCGCAGCGAGCCAGACAAGATTCAACTTTCAATGCAAGTGATCGTGGCGCTTACGGATTTCCAAACTACGGCATGACCGCACCACATGCCACTCCGGGATACTTCTCATGGGGAGGTCCAACCTGGGCTTTTGCGGGAACATACATCCTCTGTTGGTGTGGTGGTGAAGCCACGCTTGCGGGCTGCGAATCACCATCTGACTTCCTTGCACCAGTCGGGCTCGTTGAGGTTTCCGGTCCTGGTGTTCTACCTTTTGCTGCCCAAATGTTTAGATGCGTACGCTTGCGCCAATGCGAGTTAAGCAACTTGCAAGGCACACAGCCACCGACCAGCAAGCTGTTGGTTGCAGCTGGCGCCTGTGGGGGGCCAGCAGCGGACGGAATCCCTCAAGAAGGTCAGTCACTGCCATCTGTGGAGGGGACAACCTATACATGGGGTTCTGGGAGAGTCATAGCAAACCCAGGGAAATATTATTTGTGCTGGTGTTCTTCTATCAGCAATTGCGATGACTTCAGCAGCTTTGAGAGTTACGCTGGTCTACTTCAGGTCAAGTCACCAACAGCTTCACCGCTGAGGTTCTTTTGTCCACTGTCTTCTGTTTGCAATATTACCGGCATTACTGGGGAAGGCCTCACCAACCAAGACACAGTTATGATATTGGTGAAATGTGGAGACGCAGTCAGCGACACGGAGAACTTCCGACAAGGTTCTGTATCATTGGCGACCTTTGATAATGGAGGTAGCTTCACGCTTCCTCCGGGCCAAAGAGCTGGCATTTACCAAGTGTGTTGGTGTGCTGCTGAACAGATCTGCCTCAATGGGCGTGACTACACAACGACCTTGGGGCGCTTAGAGATCGGGGGCCCGGATGACTCGGTCACCTATCGCTGCTTCGAGTGGGAGCCGTGTGTTATCGAGGACCTGGAAGGCCGATCTTTATCAGACGGAGATAGGCTTCTTGTAGTTCCAGATGGCACCGACTGTTTCACCGCCAGTGCAGAGATTCGACTTGCAAACTTCCCAAACAATGCCGCCTCCCTTCCTGCAACTGAGGGTGGTAAACACTTTTCATGGGGTGGTGGACTGGTGAGGGCAACTCCGGGAGTCTATGCCTTGTGCTGGTGTCATGCTCCCTACACACCAAATGGAACTTGTTCTGAGAATGGTCCTTTCAATGTTCCTGGCGGCGTTTTGAGGATCGGCAATAGCAAAGAGTTCCAATACGTCACTCGGCCAGAGGACAACCCTTCCCGTCCGGGTGACCAAAACGTCTCCTATTTGCTTGCGGTGCCCCTGCCCCTGCTATTCTTCGCAGCCATCTGCCTCGGGGTCAAGCGCCTTGTCGGTCGCCGCTTGAAGGAGCAAGAGGAGGCACCCAACCCGTGGGCTGTCAGGAGCGAAGGGTTGGATACCATGCAGCAGCAAAGGTCGAAGCTCTCCGGAGAGGTGATGGAGGTGTCCCAAACGAGAGCTCAGATTCAGAGACTTTCGGAGAGCAGGGCCAGAGAGGTGTCCACCGGTCCAAGGGATGCCGTGACGGCCTTGTATAGTATGGTCTTAAACCACATGAGGCTCTCCCGCAAGAAGCCAAAGCTCAGAAGAATGGGACCGCAACCGACGTTGACACCATCCAAAAGTTTGCGCAGCTTGGCAACAAGCACAACAGACGATTCGTTCATGATGGGCCCTGAGGTCCAGCAGATGGATGATATTGTAAGCTCCGATGATGAAATCTTCGCGAACAAGAAGCCCAAAGCACCTCCCAAGACGGCACCCAAGCCGCCAAGCCTAGAATTCCTGAGCGTGCACGATCCTCGTGTTCTGCATATTTTGGACCAAGACTCCAAAGAACCCCATACCTTAGTTTCGTATGATCTCGACTAAGTTGAGACAACAGCCAGCAGTGCTGTCACGACCCCAAACTGGTGGGTATAACATGTATACAATCTTGTTGATGGTTCATGTAGCTTACTCAGTTTTCAAAGCCCGCTCAGATCTCACCAGAGCGTAGCATTTCCAGGGTAGCTGTGCGACAGCTAGTCCCTGTCGATAATGACCGTCAGAGGCATGCATGCAGGTGATCCTGCATCACTCGGGCTTCTGCTGACGTTTCACTAACGATTATTCTCTGCTTTGCGCAAGTTTCTCGGGTAGGGCACCCTCCAGTGGCAAAGCACGTGTACATATATGCTACAAGGAGGCAAGCAAGTCCAGAAGTAATGTGTCGACCAGCAATGCTGGAACATGCCGTCGGTGAATTGTTATTTGCATGGAGTAAAAGCGGATTCGTGCAGATGAGCCCGGCTTCGGGGCAGATGACTTTGGCGTGGACACCCAAGGAGACGGATGGCATATTCATATTTTGCCATTCATCTTCAATTTCCCAAAGGCAGATGCACGGCACTGGCATTCTTCAAGCATCGAGCCCTTGCATGATGTGCAAGACTTCCGACCACAACCCATGTGCCATTTGCCGCTGAGACAGGACATCAAGCAATCACAAGTGACAGCTTGCCGAAACAATAGGCAGCTTGTGAGAAAGCGTCTTGTCGGTGAGGTCAGGCGCAAGCACTGGCGCCGGAGGCTGAGCTGCAAGAAATCAGGAGCGTTCGGTCGTGGTAAGGCTATGTAAGGCTGCAAGGCTTCCAGGACATATGGTGATCCTTGCGTGTCAAACTGCCCAGGCGGGAGAACCTTTATCGCAAGGTGAGGCTCTGCCACGGCGAGGCCAGCAGCAAATTTGTTTCTACCACCGTGCCGGCTGCCTGAGTCCTGAGCTTTTCGGAAGCATCGGGAAGTTGTTTTCGTTTATGTTAGCGTGGAAGCCGGATGAGTGCCTTGTAATGTAGTGCCTGGAGCTCACCGCATGGTGACGTAGTCTGTTGCTACGCCAGGGATGCTTGCGTCATTTGGCGCCGCTGCTTTTCTGCAACAGATGTTGTGCTGATTCATTCCAGCTAAAGTGATCTACTTGGCCCGCCTGCAAGGGTGGATGGTTTGAACACTGCCTCGGGCCAAGCACCTCTTGAGCATGCTCCTGAGCGAGAACAGGCTGAGCAGCATGCCAACCAGAGCAAAGACAATCCCCACGTGCAGATGTCGCAGATGCTGAATGCCTACGACACGTGCGTCGCGGGCGAGATGGGAGCCCAGCAGCATGAAGCTGGCCAGACTGTCGTGGAAAAACAGAATCACGACGACGAAGAGACAATTTGTATCCAAGATTTAGCAGAACCTGCTTGCAATGCAACAGTGGCCAAGTCTGCAACAAGGGAAAGAGAAGACCTCATAATGACCGAACGGCCTGGGCAGAACGTTGTTGGGGCTACTGCTCCAACATCAGCCTCAGGGCCGTGTGCCACAGAAGCAGGGAGTGTGCCTGCAGTCGATGCTGTGGAGTTCGGAGCTGCAAAGGCGGACGAGGCAAAATCGGTCCAGGAACTCTCTGGGGTACTTTGGTCAGACCAGGAAATCGGGCAGTCACGGCCTCAAACGGACTCTACAATCCGACCGCGTGAGCGGGATGAACTTGCCACGTATGAAGCCGGCCGAGCTGCTGCAAAGGAGCTTGACCTGGAACGAGATTCCTGCAACTTGCCATGCCTTGGCACTTTGGAGTCTTGAGGCATTGCAAGTGAAGTCAGTAGGCACGTTCTTCACAATCAGACTTGCGGGCGAGTTGAACTGTTTTCCGTTGCTTAGCTTGGCATTTCATGATGCAAAGGTAATGAGAGTGGCTCAGGCGAGTTCGTGGCCTGCTCTCATGAGTACAGCTCTGCAAGGCCGAGGCCGAGGCCGGGATGGACATACCCATGCTGCTTGGCTGCTTGACACTGCCCAATGCCAAAAAGGCCGGCAGCAACATGTTTTAGCTGATTGAAGACACATTCGGAATACAGCAGCCACGCCGCTTGAAAAGAAGCAAACAAAAACACGGTCGTCTGAGCCCATGCAAGGGTGATGTGTCAGAGCCGTTCGATTCGAAGGAGGCGTGCACAGCTTAGTTTCTCTTGAGCAGACGTTCGCTCCAGAGAATTTTGGCTGTTCCCATATGGCGAGCAAAAAAGGGCGTGCCAGTCATGACCAAATTTCTACGATTCCAGCCACCTCTTGGTTGTCGGCATTCTCGGCATCCATGCTTCATGTTGCTTCATACTTTTTATCGTGTTCATCGTTTCTTGCCATCTTTTTCATCCGCATGATTTTTCATAATTTTCATGACTTTTCTTTTACCGTTCGCTATCATTTTCATTATTGTTCATTATGTTTCATCATGTGTCATCATTGTTCATCAGTTCTCATCATTTTCATCACTCTCTTCATTTTTCATCATTTCGCATCATTTTCATACTTTTCATCATTTTCTGTCATCTTTTGTACTTTTTCATTGTTCTTTAAATTGTCGTCATTCTGCTATAGTTTTTTCTATGATTTTCCTGCTGTTGGTCACTATTCTTCATTAAGTTCATAATTTTCATCATTTTCAAATCATTTTCATGACTTTTAACAATTTTTCATCATATGGCTATCATTTCCCTAACTTCATGATTTTCTACCATCTTCTATCATTTCCATGATTTTTATATCATCTCCATCATGTTTACATGTTTTCTTTCATGTTTCATGATTTTTCATGATTTTTCATGATTTTTCATGATTTTCATGATTGTTCATCAGTCCT